GTAAACAGAAATCAAATAGTTTTAGATGACAAGAGACTTATATGGACTTAACCAGACACAAAATTATATGCACATTGCACTGCGTCTGAACATGAATCTCGTTCATGCCAAAAGAAACGTGTTACATCTCAAGATCATCAAACACAAAATCTATATCAAAGATTTAAACTAGCCCAATTCAAGAACTACTCCGTTTCTTCTAAACCAGTCAGACTCATTTTCATTAAAGATACTGAACACGTGTTTGATCCAAAAAATTCCCAATCATTTGCAAACAGAACCCGTCCTAATAAACTACTGGCTAACAAACCCCCAGTTGTCCCTACACATTCAAAACCTCCTATCCGTCATACTAACCCTCATAATTCATCATTAAATGATTCAATTCACGTCAATAAATCCTGGTCAGATCAAGTCAAAGACAATTACTCAACACCAAATAAGCAAATAGACAATCAAACTGGATGGGAACTGTCTGATACTAAAAAGATCATGCTCAAACTAGATACTCTCACTGACACTCTTGCTAAGATGCATCAAGATCTTACCTTCACAGTTTGTCATCTTGATACTGTGGAATGACACCTAAACATCTTCACTATCATCTCAGCAAAAGCTGCGAAATTAAATGCTATCAACAAAGGCAAAGGCAAAGCGGACATGGAAACTGATGAATCACAATACGAAGAGAGAGTAGACATCTTAGAATTCAAAATAACTGAATATGAAAACAAAATTGAATGGCTCGCCTAAGAAAATAAAGAGCTTCGTTTAAACAACAAAGAAAATATTAAAAAGCTTAATACCGCATTAGAAGCAGTAGCTCATATCCAAAAATTCATTTATGGAAAAAATAATGAATCACTTCATGTACCCATTCCTCAATTAATCAAACCAGGCGCAGTCTGGATTAACGAAGATGAATCTAGCTCTACTCATCCTGACCTCTTCTTTTAATCCTTTATCATGAATTTAACAAATAATATCACAAAACATAAACACACCCCCATGTTTTTTAATATTGCAACTCACAATACTCGCTCTTTACTAGATGCAATCAAACAAAAAATTTTATTTGATTTTTATTCCATCAATTATCTTAACATCATTGCATTACAAGAAACCAATTTTAGTTCAGCCTCTCAGTACTTCTCCCTTAAAAAGATATGTAATAATGAATTTGTACCTTTTTTTTCTGATGAACAAGACTCTCATTGATCTGATTTTGGTATAGGTTTTCTCATTAAGAAACACCTTGCCGATCACATTTTTCACCACTCTTCTTATTTCAATCGTATTTTCTGTCTCGACTTTCAATTTAAAAATAAAAATAAATTTCGAGTTATTAACGTATATTTATCATGTTTTGATGAAACCCTCCAATTAAAAACAATTCAATGAGCACGTATCCTCATATATAAAGCTATTCGTGCTAATTTCTATTTTATTATTTTAGGGGATTTTAACACAGGCCCATCCAGATCTCACAATTCTACGCATTCTCAAGGTTTTTTAGATTATATTACTAACAATAATTTTATCAACACAATTGATTTCGTTAAAGCAATTGAACATAGTAATAACCTCCACTCGTACGTACAAGGTTTCACACAGACGACAATTGACCATATATTTATTGCACCTGCCTTAATTCCTGATTTCAACAACCATCAAGTTATTCCAGTAAATACATCACTCTCAGACCATTATATTGTATCTATCTTTATTGCTTTTGCTTCCATCAACTCGAGTTTTAATAATGCCTCAATGGTGAAGAAATTCATTTTCCTTTATCACGATATGTCAAAGGATGATTGGTCTATATTTGCTAAGGCGATTGAGGACCAATGTAAAAAATCAAGATTAATTTCAATGGATTTCGATAATATTTCCAACATTCATAAAATAAACTTCACTTGGGATCTCTTTCAAAAAGCCATTATAGATGCAGCCAAGAAACACATTCCTAACAAATACACTTTCATCACACCCACGATCTCCAACCTAAATTGCTTAAAGTAATTTACAAACATATCAAATTAATACACAAGTTAGAACGATATTCCTGATCTTGTCTCTCTAAAGGAGTATATAATACCCAATAGGGACAGTTGTTTAATAAAGCCTCACAATTTGCATATGAATATAATATCACCCTACCTATGTCAACTGCATATTTTTTGAATTTCCTATCAAAAACATTCCTTCCTCTCAAAGATCTAAAGAAAATACTCATAGCTGTGGTAAAATACAAGAAATAGAATACAAAGCGAAATCAATTAAAGAGGCAATTGATCAAAGATGTGAAAATTTTACCACAAATCAATCAGCTATATTTGATTCCCTTCTTGATCGTCTTCGTATCACTATTCTATTAGATAGATGTATCAATAATAATAGTCCAGAAAAAGAGCTACTTACAGATCCTATAGAAGTAAAGAGAGAAACTGCTCGACACTTTCAACAAGTAGTTGGCTCAAGATACTCCAATCCAACAATTCCGGATTTATAGGAGGATGATTATACCCCATTAGATAATTTGGATCCTACTATATATGAGCTCCTAATACAACTTCCTACTGAAGAAGAATGGTCTGGCATCATCAAGTCTCTACCTGATGATAAAGCTCCTGGTCCATCAAAAATATCTAATGAAATGCTCAAACACCTCAGGCCGTTTGCCTCTAAATGTCTTTGGAAAATTGCATGTTGTTGCCTAATCCACAACCTAACACCTAACTGATGGAATTTAGCCTATGTATATTCCATTCCTAAACCTAAACCATGGGAATATAATCTAAATCATACCCGTCTGATTACCCTCTTAGAATGTCCTAGAAAAGCTCTTATTAAGTTAGTCAATAGTAGACTCCTCTCTATACTAGATAAGAACAATATCCTTAAAGGTAACAATTTCGCTAATTTACCCTTTAGAAGCACTTTTGAACCCATCAATATTTTGGACAACATCAAATATGATGCATCATTTCATCATAATAACCTTTAGATCCTTTTCCAAGATATGTCAAAAGTATATGACAGAGTAAATTTTGGGATGTTAATTCGAGTGTTACTGAGATTACACCTTCTTATGTTTTTGTCTACCTTATAATCTTAATTTTTGCTTCTCGCTTCAATAAAATTTTTACAGCACACGGTGATACTGATGCCTATTATGTCCTATTAGGAATAGATCAAGGAGAAATCATCTCACTAATTTTATGGTGTATTTATTATGATCCCTTATTGTGCAAAATTCAGAATTCAACTTTAGGATACACTCAAAATGTCAATTAGAGGAAAGACATAGCCAAAAGGTCATCTGCTCAATTTTCAAATCACATTCCAGCACTCGCTTACATGAATGATACACTCTAGTTAGCAGATTCTAGAATGAATCTTTAAAATATAATGAATATTGCTGATTCCTTCTATACCCTAAATAGTATACAAGTAAATTGGAAAAAAGCAGTTTTAATGATAAATATCAAAGACTCCAGTATTGTCAACTTTAGGGTCAATGACAAAAATATATGGCTCTTCCCACTTTCTATTAAAGATTCCACCCGCTACCTTGGAGTATGAATTTCACTTTTTGACAACACTACTTATATTCGAAATCAAGTTGCAACAGAATTCAAAAAAGTTAAAAATGTGTTGAACAAAAAACGGCTCACAGTAAAATAAATAGTTGCAGTTTTTAACTCAGTAGTTATTCTCAGAATTATTTATAAGACTAAATTAACGTTTCTACCATCTACTTTCTGTAATATGATGATGGCTTCATTCAGAGCATTCTTCAAGAGTAAATTGCGTTTAATCAAGTCCCTACTAGCAGCAATCATACATTCTACCTTTGGATACAACTTAGCCCACCTGTATGACAAACAAATGCTAGCCAAAGCCTCTGATTTATTAAAAATGATAAATGATATTGCTTTACTAGGAAATACTGCTAGATTGAGAATTATGCAACTCCAACTCTTAGAATGGTTACACTTATCACCAATTACCAATTGGCCATGCGATAATTCTTCCAAATTTAAAGACTAGTGGTCAGCTTTCCTCTCAGCCGCCAAAGTAGATAGTTTTATTTTCGGTAAATGTTTGGACGAATACTTCAAACACTCTCAAATTATGGGTGACTCTATACCCATTTCATCTATTCTACCTAACAATGTATATAGGAAATCTATCAAGAATATTCAGATCCTTTCAATAATATTTATAGATCAACTTATCTCAATGGATGGATGTCACCTCTTTACCTCTTTTGATATCAACTGGTTTTATAATACAAGTTTACTAAGTATTTAATTGCATTTCAAACTCATTAAAAATATTAATTTTTTTATTTTGAAAAAATAAATTAATAATTTCTTAAATTTTATTTCGATGACGCACAAAAAAAATAGCAAATTCATAATTGCATCTATAAAAATAGAATTGATTTTAATAAATTTTTTGAATGAATAGAATTATAGAAGATCCTTTAAGAGATACAATGTAAATAAAAGCAGCTTTATGTTTTATCTCATTAAATATTTATTTATTCCTGCAACTTCTATACCTAGCAAAAGATTGTTTTCAAATGCAGAAAATTACATTTAGTAAAACATAAATTATATTGAATCAAGTTTTATTTTTAATTTTTCTTAAGACAAAATATTTTTATTAATACTGCTTATGGCTTTTAGCTTACGTTCTTCTTCAAGCTTCTTAAGACATTTCTCTGTCTTGGCTTTTCTTGAAGATTTTTCATGAAATTTGTGAGACAATTGTCAAAATGCTTCTTTTGATATTAATTGATTACCAAACTCATCAACATATTCCAAATTAACATTTGGTTTATAATCTCTGAATCTTGCTTCAAGTGCTCACAATCTCAATAACTAAATTCATTATCTGCAATATTCTTTTTTCTTTACCCGTTATTTTTCTTTCTCTCGTTCATTCTGTCTTTCTAGATCTTTTTTATATTGTTCAGCAAGCCATTTATATCATTCTCTCTGAATACGTTCTTTTTCAAGTTGTTCTTTATTTGATTTAATTGAAAAACCTAAATATAAATAATGATGATGATGATAATTTATTAGAAATATTACGTTTTAATTTGATAATAAATTGATTGAGAAATACTTTGTATTGTAAAAAGGGCCAAAGTCGCTACTATCCCACTACTAATCAAAGACTTTTCTTCAACTACACCATTCTAGATAATTATATGCGAGACTATGCAATGTCCGTCTGTCACTAAGTGAAAATGCCTAATCAAATTTCAGGATAAAAAAATCAGTGTTATTTAAATCAGTTACAAAATTATTTTTTCGAGTTTTTTCTGTGATATTAAATGATGTAAACGCTTCAGATGTACAATGGTTCCCGTTCCCTAATTTTATCATAATTAGATACCTATATTATGATAATATATATATATTAAGTAAATGTAAATTACCAATTTTGGTTCATCTTGAATATTAGCCATATCACTATCTGCTTCTAGTTCAGGTATAAATTTAAAACTAATTTTTTATATATTAATTTATAGGCTAAATATTATGGATCTAAAGGATTAAATTTTTATTGCTAACACTTTGATAGATTTATTCATTACTTTGGATATTCTTATACCACTTAAAGTATTTCCATTAAAGCCAATGGATTATATATATGAAGCTTTGGTACCAGAAGTGACAAGCAGATTAAATTCAAGAAGATTACAATAATAATATAACTCTAGAAAATGCAAGAGAAATCATGGTCGAAAGTATAGAATTTTGCATTGTGGTGATGATATGTGATGTTTTGCTTTGAAATTATAAAATTCGTTAGATTAAAACCCCAATAATGATCCAAAGAGTATAGATATAATACTTTGTTGACGTTTTTCTCATTTAATCATCACCGAATAATCAAAAAAGTCACAACGATGTGTACAACCAACTTCTATAATCTAAAAACGCCGTCTCCTTTAATCTTAAACGAATTATTTAATTATTTACGTCAAGATTAGATCAAATCTTTAATAATATTTTATTTGCGACATCCAAGATCTAAAGTTTTTTAATTACTTAAATTCATATATAAATCTAAATTTTTAATTTTTTTTTTTTGAATTCCAAATAATTCTCATGCTTTCTTTTTTCTTTAAAAATAAAACTTTCTTTTTTTAATTAAATCAAAATGCCTGTACACGTTGACAGATTCAAGTCATCTGCTATATTTGAACAACTTAAAGTTAATATCACTGATAATGAAGCAAAGAAAAATCAGACTATCAAGAAGATATTTACAAGAATTTTTTTTTTTTTTTAAAAAATTAAAAATTAAAAATTAAAAAAAAAAACAAAGGAAAAGGTGAATCTTTTTTAAAAGGGTTGAACTTAAATTTATTTCAACTTTAGGTTAATGCGATCTATGAGATTCATGTAAAAAATCAAAAAGGGAAAGAACAAGTTTGGACACTAGATTTTAAAAATGATGGAACGGTAAATGCTGACAAAGGTACCGCAAAACCTGACATTATTATCAATTTATCTGATGATACTTTTGTTGATTTGGCTAAAGGGAAAATTAAAGGCAAGTAAAATAAAAATCGTTCTTCAGCAAGTTGAAAAAAAAAAACAAATTTATCTTTTTTCTGTAATAAATCATAGGTCAAACGGCTTTTTTGAACTCGTAAACTTAAGATCAAGGGTAATATAATGTTGGCTACCAAATTGGATGGAGTTTTAGCCATGATCCCGAAAGCAAAATTACATCATGAAAAAAAAAAAAAAAATAGATTGTAATAGTTTGCATGTACTATCATATTGTTATTTAATAAAATAAAAATGAACTTAATGAAATTAATTGAAAATCGGAATCAAGATTATAAAATTGTTTTGTTTTAAATAAAGTCCTTTTATTTTGTATATTTACTCATGACTTTCATAATTCTTCGCCTTCACGAAATTCCATTAACCAGGCATCCCTTCCAAATTCATAATAATTTACAACTCTTTTAATCACTTTAAAACCAACTTTTTTGTATAAATTAATCGCAGACTCCCTTTCAATGTCAACATGTAAATCAGCTTTACTTCTCTTGGGTACATTCATCTTTTCCAATGCGCTCTTTAATAACTTTTCTCCTAATCCAAGCCTTCTATAAGTAGGATGTATGCACAATTTCAATATTCTCGTGATTGGCATTTGCGAGGATGAAATATTCGAATATATTATATATCCAATTACGACAATTACTCTTGAAATTTCTTCCTTATTATTATTATTACTATTATTATCTCTTTTACGATTATTAAGGCAATGATTTTTTCCATTTGATGAATTATAATCCTTCCTTTCTTTTCTCTCGTCTGTTTCATGATAAACTATTAACAATGTATTGGTTTTCTTTGAAACTTCTTCCTTGATAGACATGATTTCGTTTTTTGGAAAAGTTTTTTTTTCAATAGTTTCAATCTGTTTGAGAATCATTTCTGTATATTTTTGAAGAGATTTATTGGGAAATATGGTTATACTTTCTACATTATTTTTCATAGACATGTCTTGTTCCTTTTTTTATTAAAAAAAAAAAAAATAAATACTAAAAAAAAGATTCTACATTTTGTAAAAAAAAAAAAAAAGGAAAATGGGAGATATTTATATAATTTCCAAGCCAGATTTATCGATTGAGAATTCGTGTAACTTACAATATGTTGTGTGATGTTCAAATTTTATGAAATTAACGTATGATTAAATCATTAGTAGTTAGGAAAAAAAAATGACTCCGAGAAGGTCAGAAAGGTTACGTGAGAACAAAAAAGAGGAGACTCCCATATCACCAAAAGAAGTGAAAGAAAGGCATGAAAAGGACGAAAGAACGCGTTCTGATAAAGCCAAAAAACGCAAAAGGAAGGATACTACACCAATTAAAGAAGCCACAGTTGCCAAGAAAACGAAACAAACCAAAAGAAATAAGGAATCTAAACTTAAAGCCAACAAAAGCACTTACGAAACAAAGGTTTTTTTTACAATCTTTTAAACCTATAAACGTGGCTTTTGAATTATAAATAATAAAATAGCCATTTAAATATATATCTTTTATCGTACGCAGGAACCTAAGCCTAAACGTAAAACCAAACAAAAAATACCTCTCGACATGTCTTTTACACGGAGTAAAGTTACAAAATACGTTGGCGCACACGTTAGTATTTCAGGTGGGGTACAAAATGCTATTATCAATAGTCTTATTATCAGGTAAATTTTACGCGTTTGATTCGTTTTTAAACGAAAACGAAAAAATTACTAATATTAATGATGTTATTTGTGATGAAAAAAAAAAAGGGCCAATGCCTTTGCAATTTTCTTGAGAAATCAAAGAAGATGGACGGCACCACCACTAGATCCTGAGAAAGTTAAAGCATTTCGAGAAAATTGTATACAACATAATTATGCTTCAAAATTTATTTTGCCTCATGGGAGTTATCTAATCAATTTAGGTAATCCTGATCAAGAAAAACGCGAGAAAAGTTATCAGGCTTTTCTGGAGGATTTAAATCGTTGTGAATTACTAGGATTATCTTTATATAATTTTCAGTAAGTATATGAGTTAACGGTTTTCTTTTACAAAAAATAAATTGGATCGTTAATGACGCCTCAATCGTTGATCATAAGTCCTGGCTCAACAGTTGGGCAGTGCACAAAAGAACAATCTATACAACATATCGCGGATTGTATCAATAAAGCACATGAGGAAACTTCGAGCGTAACGTGTGTTATCGAAAACATGGTACGCTTATATTTTTTTTTTAAATCATAAGATACATGATATATATATATATATATTTGTATACTTTGGTACTGAAACATAATTGAAATTTTGCAAGGCGGGCGCGGGTAATATTATTGGATCGAGGTTCGAGGAACTTGGAGACATCATTTCACGGGTAAAGGGTAAAAACGAGTTTGAAATTTTACTCTAATTTGTTTCATTCATTCCCGTTTGAATCTCATCTTTATAATTATTTTCATTATCCTAAAGATAAGAGTCGAGTTGGTGTCTGTATTGACACTTGTCATGCCTTTGCTGCGGTAAACCTCGTTTTTCATCAAATAAAGTGAATCGAATATATGTTTATTCTTCATTTCTCTTGTTAGGGATATGATTTACGTACTCGGAAAGCGTATGAAAAAACCATGTCGGAATTCTCTCAACATATTGGATTTCAGTATTTACGAGGGATGCATTTAAACGATTCAAAAACCCAATTAAAATCCTTTCGAGATCGTCATGCTAATATAGGAAAAGGATATTTGGGGTTAGAAGCATTTCGTTTAATTATGAATGATGATCGATTAAATGAAATTCCATTAATTCTAGAAACTCCCGTTGGACCTGATGACGAATTCTCAGATTGGGATAAAGAAATTGAATTACTTTATGGACTTGTAGGAATCGAACATGTAAAAAGCGCACATCACCGAAAAGGATACCGTAAAAATGTAGATGAATGATTTTTACGGTGAGATCCTGGAAAAAAAAATCCAATGTACATTAGTTATTTACCTTATTTGTGTGTATAATCAATAAAAAAAGATATCTAATATCTTATACATATGATCTACTGTAATGCATAAATCAATTTTTGATGGATTAATGATATTAGTGATCATCACCCGGAAATTTATAAATCGAACTCAAAACAATACAAAAGGAAATTTCGCCAATCTATATCTCGTGTAACGGGTAAACCTCTAGATCTAATTTATTTTTGATCCATCCTTTTCGTATTTTTTTAGTCCTGACAAAATTCAAAAAAATGTAAGCACGAAATTTTTTTATCTGATCTTATACATAAATCGTTTTTTTATCAATCTAAAAAATTATACAATTGATAAAAGACTGATTCTTTTTTTTTTTTTTTTTTTTTATTTCAATTTCTCAATTCTAAAAATTTTTGTTCCAATTCAAAAATAAAAAAAAATGCTAATATCAAGAATTCGTACTTCTACTTCACTTTCTTACTCTTCATTGAAATATAAAGCAAAATGTTTAAGTTCATTATCAACTTTACCTAAAAGAAAATGGTTACAAAATAATAATAATGATAATACACGACAAAATCGATATTATACAAGGGATTCTTCCAAAAATGAAAAAGTAAGCAAATGAATTATTTGTTACTTGATCTTTTTCCAAGTTGCAGTTTATATTAATATTTTTACTATTAAAATTATCATTATTTTTTTTATTATGATTATTATTATGATAATGATAATAATCCGATAGGAGACCATTATAAGACTTTTATATAATATAGGCTCAAGAAAAGAAGTTGAACAATATCTTCGACACTTTTCTTCGGTAGAATCACAGAAATTCGCGGTAATAAAAGTTGGAGGAGCCGTCTTATCAGATGAATTAGATACCCTTGCATCATCTATAACATTTTTAAATCGAGTAGGGTTATATCCAATCGTATTACATGGAGCTGGACCACAAATGAATAAATTATTGGAAGAGGCGGGCGTTGAACCGAATTATATCGATGGTATTCGTGTGACGGATGCCAAAACCTTAGAAATCGCAAGAGGAGTGTTCTTGCAAGAAAATCTCAAGTTAGTTGAGGCTTTAGAACGTTTAGGTACTCCAGCTAGGCCAATTCCTGGTGGTGTGTTCATCGCGGATTATCTAGATAGGGAAAAATACGGTTACGTCGGAAAAATCACCGGTGTACACAAGAGGGTCGTCGAGGCCAGTGTGAATTCCGGTGCGTTGCCAATCTTGACTAGCTTGGCCGAAACTCCTTCCGGTCAGATTTTAAATGTTAACGCTGACGTGGCCGCCGGAGAGTTAGCCAGGGTTTTAGAACCATTAAAGATCATCTACCTTAGTGAAAAGGGAGGTCTCTTACATGGTGAAACCAATAAGAAGATTGATGTGATAAACCTTGATGAGGAATATGAGAATTACATGGCACAACCATGGGTGAAATATGGTACGAGGTTGAAGATTAGGGAGATCAAGGAACTTCTGGATCATTTGCCTCGTTCTTCATCGGTTGCAATAACTTCTTCCGGTCAACTTCATAAAGAATTATTCACTGATTACGGAGCCGGAACGTTGATTCGCCGAGGATATCGCCTCTTTAAATATAATTCCGTTAATGAAACCGATAATGCGAAATTACAACAAATCTTACAACAATCTATTTCCGATTCATCTTCATACATTCAACAACTTGGAAAGAAATCTCACGCAATCTATAGTGATGAACCTTATGAAGTGTTGGCGGTCGTGTCACAAGATAATGCCATCCCAATCCTTGATAAATTTATCGCATCCAAAAATGGGGTCTTGAATAACGTGACGGATAATATTTGGTCCATGATACAAAAGGATTACCCTCGATTAACTTGGGTTGCGGATGAAAATGACGAGAATAAATCTTGGTTCTTTGACAGATCTGATGGTAGCTACACCAGTAATGGAAAGATTTTGTTCTGGTATGGCATCGAGAATATCGATGATGTTACCAAAATCATTAAAAATTTCGTATCTAACCAAGGAGTCGCTTCTTCAACAAAATCCGGAAACGCATTCACGAACAATTCCCGATCATATTCAACCTTTACTAGAAAGAATAATGCATTTTCACCATCCAGTCTATTGCGCCGTCAATATTCCACATCTACAAGCCCAGCAAGGGTCGCTTTAATCGGGGCTCGTGGATATACCGGAAGGAACCTCATTTCACTCTTAAATGCTCATCCTCATCTTTCCTTATCTCATGTATCTTCTCGAGAGCTTGAAGGTCAAAAATTGGACGGTTATACAAAAGATGACATTAAGTATGTTAATTTGAAAGCCGAACAAGTTAAGGAGATGCAAAAGAATGGCGAGGTTGATTGTTGGGTAATGGCTTTACCCAATGGCGTTTGTGCACCGTTTGTTCAAGCCGTTAACGAAGGTCAAGTGGGCAAAAGTTTGATCGTCGATTTGAGCGCAGATTATCGTTTTACTGATGAATGGACTTATGGTTTACCTGGTATGTAAAAGGAGCGGTTTTGGGGTTATTGCTTTCTTCGCAATCTTTCTTTTTTCGTTTATTAAAGGACATTTAATCCATTTAGAACTCGGGGATCGCAACGCCATTATTAAAGCCACCAGAATCTCAAATCCTGGTTGTTATGCAACGGGTTCACAAATTGCTATTGCTCCATTAATCCCATATATATCAGAATCTCCGACTGTATTTGGAGTTTCGGGTTATTCGGGTGCTGGCACAAAACCATCACCAAAAAATGATCCAGAATTCCTTAAAGACAATCTAATACCATACGCTTTAACAGATCATATTCATGAACGTGAGGTTTCTCATCGGTTAGGAACAAGTGTTAACTTCATCCCACATGTTGCTTCATATTTCCAAGGGATAAATATAACTGCCAATATTCCTTTGAACAAAACTTTTAAATCTTCGGAAATTAAAGAATTATTCGAACAAAAATATGCGGGAGAAAAGCTTATTAAGGTTGTAGAAGATATTCCACTTGTAAAAGATAATTCCGAAAAACATTTTGTTAAGGTTGGAGGATTCGGTGTACATTCATCTGGTAAAAGGGTTGTGGTCGTTGCTACCATTGATAATTTGTTGAAAGGTGCCGCTACCCAAGCTTTGCAGGTAAATTTTTTTTTATTCTTTGCGATAAATCCGTAAATCCGTAAATTCGTAAATCCATAAATCCATTTTTTTTTTTAAAAAAAAAATATTTTATTCTAAATTTCAATCTCTTTTCTTCTTTCCTTTCAGAATATGAATCTTGCCTTGGGTTATGATGAATACGCAGGTATTCCACTTGAATAAATTACAATCTTTGTTTTTTGTTTTTCTTTTACAAATATATGTATATATATATTGTATGTATGTATATGTATACCTTATTTAATAGATTGTATTGTATATAAATAATATTTAATAAATTTAAGAGGATTGGTTGAAATTCTTATTACAAATGAACTTATTTATTTTATTATATAATTTGCAATAAATTAATAAAATTAATAAAATTACAATGATTCCAAACCAAAAGTCCTCCAAGTGTTATTATTAATTTAAATATAAAGCGGTTTGATGTACATGAAAAAAAAAAAGATTAAATATTATTATTATAATTATTATCATCATCATTATTATTATTCTCCAAAAAGACGTTGTACACGTTTAAGAACACTATCTTTCTCGGGATCTGATGAAGACGAGAGGATACAAATTAGAATGGTGAATGAATCATACGAATAAAAAGATATAAATAAATCTTATGATGATACCGTAAGGATGATCTTTAGATGGAATTTCGAGTACTGTTGGAAAAGCTTGATCATGATCATCTACAAGATGACGAATGTCATCGGCGACCTTAATAAAGATGGATGCGCGCGGATAATGATAAAAAAAATATTGTTGATTTTTTTAATTGAAACATATCATTTGATTATCTGCATCTAATGTGATGGTACGTTAATTAATACAAACATGTTGATTGATAAGAACGATCGCAATGTCTTTTCTGCTGGTAAATTCGACAAAAGTGTTTTCTATCTTTGATATAGGGGTTTCTAGCAAAAAAAAACAATGGTCAATCATTAAAATCGAAACATAAAAAATCAAAATAGTTGGTAGTAATTTTCTCACTATTATCAACGACGAGAAAATTCTTTTTTGGACCGTTGACATGACCTATGCCGGCCAACAAAAGGCCTGTCACCGAATCCTAATTTTTTTTTTTTAATAAAAAGGTAAAGCATAAATATATTTTTATTGTTGAACGAAAAAAAAAGGATTCAAAACAAAAAAAATTAGTTATGTTAACCTCATCACCAATAATAGCTATGAAGTTACGATCTTTATAAGAAGGCAATTGCGCCATGACTTTTTTTCTTGTTATAATATAAAGAACAACAAGAAAAAAAAAAAAAAAAAAGGTCGAGAAAAAAAGAGCTCTTATTTATAGTTTGGATGATGATTTTTATCGGTAGAATATGATTAGATTTAATCAACTTCAGGTATGATCAGAATGATAGGTATGATCTGCTGCGGATTGCAGAAAAATTGATCGGAAAAAAAAAGTTAAAAAAATGTTCCGAAAACTTTATTCCCTCTCTTTTTTTTTTTTTTTTTTTGTTTGTTTATGAAAGAATAAAATTTGTTTTAATTTATTAAAAATAAACATGTTTCGCAACACTTTTCAGGTATCTGTTTTTTTTCAAAAAAAAAAAATAATATATTCTGTTACATATGATCTCGTCCTTTACAATTATGAATTTAATGAATTTTTTTTTAGTCCGGATTTCTATCGATTTTATATAGTCTTGGGTAAGGACTTGGATACCGAGTTATCTTCTTTATATTTAATCTTTTGAATGTATCGAAGAAACTTGCTGCTTTTTTTTTTTTTTCATATGACTCAATCAAATAATCTATTAATTCACCTACCAGATAAATTGATAATATAAATGGAAAAAGTATCATTTTTTTTTTTCTTTTCTTTTTTTAATATCAAACATATATATATATATATATACATAAATATATTCCTAACTAGGAAAAGATTTTTTTTTTTTTTTTTTGGAACAGCCTGCTAAAAATAACGAGTAATTCTTTTTTCTTCTTTCTTTTTGTAGCAATAAACCACTTCAAATATGGCATACGGAGACGAATTCTCGACACGAAGAAAGCCATGTCTCGCGTGTAAGAGATGACGACATAAAATCTCCCGTCATAGAAATACTTTCGCCAGATATTACGTCCACCTATGTGACTTGCCCTTCTCAACTTAACCGTACGCTCGGGATTAAATTACCAATCCTCGTTCTCGTGGTGAAAAATTTTAAGAAATACTTCACCTTTGAAGTTCAAATTATGGATGATAAGAACATCAAAAGAATATTTAGGGCTTCAAATTTTCAGGTATCTTTCACAAGTCAAGAACAATTTTCATTTTTTTTCCTATTCATGCATTGTGAAGGGAAAATGGGGGACCTTGCTGATTTATTTACTGATTTTTAAGCCATCGACGCGCGTCAAACCTTATATTTGTACCATGCCATTGAGAATGGATGAAGGCTGGAATCAGATTCAATTCAATTTGGCCGATTTTACGCGTCGTGCATTTAATTCAAATTATGTTGAAACTTTAAGAGTACAAATACATGCGAATTGTAGGTTGAGAAGGGTTTATTTTGCTGATAGGGTTTATGCCGAAGATGAATTGCCTCCAGAGATGAAGTTGTGGTTGCCCGAGGAAAAGAAAAAGGATGGATAAGATAGAATGTTCCCATTAGAAGAATTTCTTTTTTTTCTTTCTTTTTTCATCGAAGATTGTATTGTATCACCGCGATAATTATTTTTTTTTTTTATGCCATTTTCTTTCAGAACATATTTTCATTAAAAGTTAAAGTATTATTTTAAAATGAAAATAAATAAATATCAAATTGAATAATTTTGAATTGTCTGATTTTAGACTGATGAGCGACGTGCTTCCTTCGGGCATAAAATTTTCTTCATAATTCCCTAATTTAAGTTCATTTAAAAAAGAAAAAAGAAAAAAACCGATGCTCGGAGAACTTGGACCCCAACCTTTTTTTTTTTTTTTTTTTCAAAAGATGGAAAAACAATCAGAAAATGGAAAATAAAAAAAAATAAAAAATATTTTTTTGTTTATTTTTGTTCGGGAAATCTGCTTGATTATGTCATAATATTTTGATGAAAGTCGTTTCTCCTTGGTGATTTTTTTCGGTCGACAATTGAAAATGCAACTTACTGCGCTGACGACAGATAAATTTAACCTGTAAATCTATATGATTATATGATTACATTAACTTGGCTGAACTTTTTTTGGGGGGCTGAAGTGGCAGAAGTTTAAAATGGGTCAATTTCCAGAGGTTACCAAATTTCAGGCTTGTCAACCGTTTATAGGATAGTCGAAAAAAAAAAAAATGATTACACATCAAAACTAAGCCGAAACCAAACTTCGCAAAAAAGGGTCAAGATAAACGTTTCATCTTTTTTTTGAGAAATCACGTAAATCATCACAAAATTTCTTATTCGGGATTGAATTTAAGAATTTAATATAACATGTGCTGCAACACGTGTCATGTGTCGGACAGTTCTGATGGTTACAATCGTCTGTATGAGAAGTTTTTTGAACTTTCTAAAGATGATAAACCTCAACCCCATACGAAAATCTGAAAAGGTTAAAGTGGATTTTATTTTATTTTTTTTTTTTTTTGATTCCGGAGTGATTTAAGCATCAAAAAAAAAATTGACCCTAATAATGATATTCATTTGCACGTTAAGGAGGATTTATTTATTTATTTATTTTTTTTTTTTACGAATCAAGAAAGGATCAATGGATTCATGAATCAACGAAACAAATAATCATCCTTCCCCCCCTTGTATCATTACCAACATTGGGAAAGATTTTGAAGAAATATCGTGAAAGATTTCGGAAAAGTTAACTTCTCTATGTAATATTTGTTATACACTATGAAAATTATTTTCTCACACTTTAATAAACAAGGTTCGACTCTTTTTTTTTTAAAAAAAGATTAGGGAGGGGATTGGGGCGAATAACAGGTATCTTATTAAAAAAGTTCAAAAAAAGAAGAATGAATGATTCATTGAATAATGAAAAGGTTGTTGTTTTTCATTACAAGTTACCGAATTAAGTCAAAAGGGTACACGGGAAGGTCAAACGTTTTTCGTTTCCTAGAAATTTTTTGGGGGCTGACCTTCGTGTTTTTTACCTTTTGAGATGTTTGAAAAATTTTTGGTAATTTAAGAAAGAAAAAGATTGATTACTCCTTGATTGTACAACGGTTTAATTTCTAAAAAAAATGTTTCATTTAGGGGGAAAATTCATCCAAATATAATTCATTTTTCTTTTATTAATGGAATTTATTTGTGCGTCGCGTACACAAGTGAAATTACCATATTCATTAGGTGATTTAGGTGATAAAATAACATCGTTCATTGTTCTCCGTAATAATAGTATCTCTAAAACAGACGAAAACCTTATATTAAAACAAAGGATTTGAAACCTCTTTCGTCACTCATAACCTCTCTCTCATTTTTTTTTTTTTTTTTTTTCGTACTCCTTTTTTCTCGAATTCTCGAGCGTTATGCGCTTTTTGTTTTGGAAAAAAAGAAAAAATTTTTAAATTTTTTTTCATAATCATCAATGGAAAAATCAAAAAGAAAAAAAGGTAAGACCGGAAAGTTTTCTTAATTTGGATAATTTTCCCTGCACTCGGAAAATCTCTTTTGTATAGTTCGTTTCAAATCATTTTGTTGTAGTGACACAACAAAATAACAAACGGAAACGAAATGCGAGGTTCAGTATTGTTATGAAGTACTTTTTATTTATTAAAAAAAAAAATTCATCATTGTTGACAATTATGAAAGAATGGACTTCTCTTTTTCTTAAAACTTCCGAAAGGGTTCCTGAATTTCTGAGTTTTGAAGAAATTTCTCCACTCTTTGTTTTAAGTTTTTGGTGGGGTTCAATTGTTGCCAAAAAGAAAAAAAATAAAAAAAAATTGTATATATAATTATTTAAACCGAATTTATTTTTTACGAAAGGTTTACCTGACATGTTTCACAAAATAAATTAAGCACAGACTGAGCTGCACATATTACATACAGGAGGCATTCAATTACACTCACTCGGTTCGTTATATCACACACTTGAACAATTTACTTTAAAGTACTTCAAAAGTAATTATTTATACAAGATAAAATAAATACATGAAATATATATTTTTTAAAATATATTTATAAATTTACCAGTCATTCAGCCGAACTCTAAAATTTTTTTTCACTCATTTTTTTTTTCCTTAAACTACATGGTTACTGGTATATATAGATAGTCCTCGGCGCAAAAAAAAAAAAAAAAAAAAAAAAAAAAAAACTAATTTATAGACTACATATCCAAGATTTTTTTTTTTCTTTGGAAAAAACAAAAAGCATAGAAATTTAATAAAATTTAATATATAATATTCAAAAAAAAAAAAATAAAATAAAATATTTAATATAACGGGAGCTGGTCACCCAAAAAAAAACTAGAAATATTATTAATTTTTTTTTATAATAATAAAAGTAAAAAGAAATAATAGTGTCAGTTCCTTTTAAACAGGGAAATAATAATAAAAAAGTAATCAAGTTACCACGAATGTTAATAATTACCGCTCGTTCGTGCTGTTACAATGACGGAATATAACAATAACTCTCCTGCTACCACAACCTCTCGCGTCACCAAACGCACGTCGAGACCCTATCACCTTGACTACGCTTCGTCCTTTGACGAAGCCGAAGAGAGTGATAGTTATACGTCAAGGAGGTCAAGACGGTTATCAGAAAGCAACCATAGAAGAATTGGTTCCACATATGGACTTTCTTACGTTTCGAACAGAAGAATGGAAAGAATGGAGGTAAAAGAAGACGAGTCCAATGGGTTGCCTTCTCGGAGAAGATATACACGTAAATGGGAGACCGACGACGAACAGTTGAAACCAAACCACGTATGCCATTTCATCACTTTTGGAATTCTTTAAATATGGTTAACCTCTTTTTGAATTGATTTCCATACTTGGAAATTGATCAGAATTTCTTTGTCTATTTATATTTACCATTTACATATCATCATTTTTTTTTTTTTTTTTTTTTTTTTTGGTTTTTCTTCAAAAAAATTTTTTTAGCGAAGTTCGATGCCAATAATGTCACAGCAACAACATTCACCACAGCATTCCCCGGTTAATATTTATCCTGATGAGGCCGTAACAACCAGGTCCCTCTTATACAATCTTGGTAAGGAACGTACAAAACGACGTGAAATACAAAATGCTTACGATACAACGGTGCAAACGTTGAAAGAATTACAACAAAATCATCAAGATGATTTAGTCGCACTTGAAAGTGACATACAAACCCTTCAAGATGCATTGGTAAAGGAGGCCAAGGCTAACATACAATTAAATAAACTTTTACGCGAATCCACTTCAAAATTTACGGAAGAGATGCAAAATTGGGCAAATAAAGTTGTTTTAATGGAGGAACAAGGAAAAGAATTACAACAGACATTTCAGGAAACGATGGTACAATTAGAAAAAGAGGAGGAAGAAATTATTAGATTGAGGAAAGAGAATCAATCATTACGCGATCAATTGGCAGGTCGAGCTATCGAACCCGCAAATTTGAATCGTAGGAATCTTGAGGATGTTCGAAAAGTAGGCTCGATGGAGGATAGGGATGATGTATCGGTTTCTGCTGAATCCAAGCAAGAATGCATTTCCGATAATGAATCCGTTGCCAATTATTCAAAGTTGACGGAATTAAACGATCGAATCATGGAGTTGGAGAACGAATTAATCACCTCCAAAGAAAATACTCAAAAGGTCGAATCCTCCTTTCAACAATTAGAAACAGATAAAGCTTCTACCATAAAACAATTGGAAGAAAAACATTTAAAAGCGGTTAGCCTTTTACGTGCGACCCTTAAACAAAAACAAATTAAGATTGAAGAATTGGAAAAAGAATTACGCAAAGCAAAGTATAATGAAAATGAGAGAAAGGAAAAATTTATACATATAAAGCCTATTTCACATAAACCTTCTCAACAATTCTCATCACCACCATCACCTAAACTACAACAACATCATCAACCGTTAGAACAGGATGAAGAAGAGGATCTTCAACCGGTGAACGATGATTGGCGCAATCATCATCGTCCCGGTCAAATGAAACGTAGGTCCATCATTTCTGAGAACTTTCCCACGAAAGAACGAAAAAATTCCTTAACTAGCACAAATAGCGGAAGTATTGAAGGGACCAGTGTAACGGGCGGAAGCCTAGAAGACAAAGGTGAAGGGGAAGCCGAACAATCTGAAATATCCTCGGAAGAGGAGGAGGAAGAGGAGGAAGAGCGTGACGATCAATCCTCGTCGGTTTTTACAGGGAGCAATGGAAGCGAAGAAGTCGCTAGCGTGCAGGACTCGAACGCTTTAGGAAGACAACAACATCATCAACTTAACAAAGATAATGAAGTAGTCGCGGAAGAGGACGACGATATTCTGGATGCGATTCTTTCGGATCGAGAAGATCGTTCCTTGCCACTCATTGGTCATTATTCAGCCGCAGAATATACAGAAGATGAAGATTTTGATTTTGACCTTGACCTTGACTACAGAAGACCGAGCTACGTGGGTAGAATTGGTGGAAATAAAATCGAGGTTAATTCAATGGTGATGGCATTAAATCAGATCGCTTCAGGTGGAAGGAGAGGTCGATCTGTAGATGATGGGATTCCATAGTAAAAAGTTGTTTAAATGCACAAATACGCATGGGTTGCATTGCAACGCGTACACCCATTGCAACCAGTGCGTATTAGTGTAGTTAATGGATGATTTGTACATATTGAAGAAGATGTAAATTGTAACGTAACACGGTACATACACACGTCATTTAGCATTAAGGTGTCATTGTTTGCTGGTTGTAGGATTTTTATTTGTATCTTTTTTTCTTTTCTTTCTTTTTTTTGTAAATAGCATTTTCGCGTGGTGGTGAATGAAAAAGTATAGACGTATGAATTTTGAAGAAAAAGGACATTTGCATAACATTCACCACAACTTGACGACCCCTCACCAAAAAGTTTTATTTTACCGCCTTTACATTTTTTTTTTTTTTTGTACCATATGTTTTGTTTGTACTTGCCTGTAATTTTTTTTTTTCCTTCTCTTGTATTAGAAAAAAAAAGTTTTTTCTTTTTTGGAAACACAATCTCAATCAAAAAAAAAAAAATAAAATTTAATTATTCCATTTTTGTACATTTCTTATTTTTTACATGAAACGATAAATAAAAACGTACGTTAATGCATTGAAAATTTCCAAACATAGTAAAGATTTAATTGTTTCATTTGTTTACTAGATTTTACGTTCGAATCTTCTTTTAATTTATGCTTAGCTATTTATGGATATTGTGTTAGATTGGTTTATTAAAACCTCGTGCCAATGTAAAAGATAAAGCCAAAAACTTTTTTGAATAATTTTCTCTGGTTTTTAATAAGAAACCAGTATAAAATGACACGAGAGCGTTCGCCATTTCTTTTGTCCTATCAAAAACAGGTTCAAACAACCTGGTTATCCTTGCGGTTAATATCGTTCCCGAAATTAATTAGAGTATTTACAATCTTTACAGCCATAATAATCCTCATCTTTATTACACTTTTAAGCCTTTATGAAAATACGGATCGTACTTTTACACACAAGTTTATAAATATAAATATAGGAAAAGATAAATCTACGAATGATAATAACAATATTATAGTACTGATCGATGGAGAAAAACAAGGTTTAGGTTTACAACCCATTTTCTGTCAACTATCATCTCATAAGAACGTTAATATTCATGTGATAGTGACGGGTCAGGGACGTGGTTTAAGTAAAGCGGGTTTAAAAAACTTTATCAATGAAAAAAATTCTTCTTGTGAAGTATCAATTTATGATTTAGACATTAAAACGAATAATAAAATTGGTGTTTTGGAATTGGTTTTTCAAGCAACAAGTCATTTTTTAAATCAAATTCAACCAGATGTTTTATTATATATTAAAGATTCAGAAAATTATGCTATACGAGGAATTGATTCTGCGTTGTTGGCAGCTTCTTCTTTAGGTGTTACTGGTATATCGGTTCCGATCGAAGATGCTGAACATTTGATTTGGTTAGCACATTTACCAATTGAGGCCTTAAAACGTACGTATCGTATAAATCATTTTTAAAAAGATTTAAAACAAAAAAAAAGTGATTCCTTACTTATTATTTTTTTTTTTTTAAAAAAAAAAAAAGATTGGAACACCCCTAAAGTCCAGGTGCAAGTCATTACACAAGATCGTCCAGATTCATTGGCGCGTCTTGTTCGATCTCTAAAGTCTTCTCACTTTTTTGGGGATGAGATATCACTCACGATTAATATGGATCGAGGTGCAGATCCGGTAACAAAAGAATATTGTCGTACTCTAGAATGGCCTTTTGGACAAAAGAATATTCGTCATCGTATCGTGCAAGGTGGATTAATGGCAGCCGTTGTGGAATCTTATTATCCTAAAGATGATCATGACTATACAGTGTTGTTAGAAGATGATGTTGAGCTTTCTCCATATTTTTATACGTGGACAAAGTACGCTATTCTCAAATACAGATATGGGCCTGATCGTGTTCACAGTAGTCGTATGTATGGAATTAGTTATTATGGATCAAAGATTAATGAGCTTTACCCGCCAGGACGCAGACCATTCGATCCCGCCATCTTTCTTGAAGGTACAAATTTTCCATTTCGCACTCCATATCTATGGCAGGTACCATGTAGCTGGGGCGCTGTATATTTTCCTGAAGTGTGGCGCGAGTTTCACGATTACTTCCCTGCAAGGTTACAAGATTTGAGTGGATTGAATCTTCAAAACATTACAGTTCCGGAAACTCGATCAAACAGGTGGAAAAAATCTTGGAAAAAATTTTTAATAGAACTTATATATCTTCGCGGATATGTGATGCTTTATCCAAACTATGAAAACTTTATGAGCTTTTCTACTAATCATGCTGAAGCGGGAACTCATATTCATCTTGTTGAGGGAAAACCTCGCCCAAATGATATTTTTGGTGTACCTTTAATGGAAGAAGATGTGGTTTTATCTGGATTACCCGGAGGTCGTCTGCCAAATTTTACGGATTTACCGACCTTGGACCTTATAGGGAACGTTGTCCCAAGAGAAGAATTAATACAACGTGGAAGATCTTTACAGTCTGAAGTTTCATTATGTCCTCCAAGTGAAAGTGACGAACTTACCTTTGATCCAAAAGATATTTTGTGCGTAAATGAAGAAAGGAGACAAATAGCTATGGATGAAAATGAGGCAAGCAAAGAGTTGAGTAAAAAATTGCATACGGCGGTTAAATTCATTGCCAATCACACTCTAGATAGTAATGATGAGATGGAAGTTGATCCCGAGAGGTTATTAAATATCGTTCTAGAGATTTATAATAGTTCATCAATCTCGCCTTCAATTGTTGACTTACCAACCCCAACACAAACTTCAGCGGTTGAAATTAAAATTTTACATGATGATGAACTCGTGACAGAACCACAAGTTACGCAAACCATGGAATTAAGTCACGTTACACCAAAAGTTCAAAAATAATCCGAGCGTAATTTTCAAAAATGAAAAGTTCGGATGAACGAAAGCATAAGTTGGCGATAGGTAGTTTGGGATATTCTTGCATACTAATCTGATCAACCGATCATATGGCCCAAACCAACAGCGGAAATTCTTTCTATCAAAAATGGGAAATCGTTATCCCGTAATCAATCATCTTAATTTAATTCCATGAATCTTTTAACTAAATGTACATGTATATAAAATAATTTGAATGGGAATTTTTGTCAAAAAAAAGAATTAATCTACACAAGCATGTGAAACTTAATTCGCCATCGTAAGAATAGAAGCAGATGTTATATTGTTCCTAATCATCGATTTCTTAGAGATTATCAACAGTTTTTTGTCATTCACAAAAGACCATATAGAATTTATATGTTTGGTAATTGATTCAAATTAAAATAAACTCTTGTTTTCGTACATAACAATAATAACAATAATAAACTATTCATTTTAATAATAATAAAGTATTTGACAATGGGTTTTTAATCGATCATTATTGTTGTATTATTTTAATTTATCCTTAAAAAAGTTTGTATAATCTTTTTTTTTTTTTTCGTCCGAATTTATTTACAATTGCTTTTTGTGTAATTTTCTTATAAAAAGACTATCATTTTTCGATAAAAATTTTTATATTTTTTACCTAAAAATAATCATGTTAACACTTCAATCTAATTTAACTTTTACAAATTCAAGACAATTACCCAACTGTTTATACCTTTTATCAATTCCACGAACAATAAAAAATTTACATCAAAAAATTAATATTTATATCAATAATTATTTGAAGATAAATGATAAAGACGAATTTATCAACGTAATCAATACAGTTGTATTTTATAAAAGTTTTAAAGGATCAGACAAAAGTCTGGTTCAAAAAAAAATTTTAAAATCTGTTTAAAAGGATCAGACAATGTCTGGTTCTGTTTTAAAGAATCAGACAAAGTCTGGTTCAAAAAAAAAATTTAGAATCTGTTTTAAAGAATCAGACAAGGTCTGGTTCAAAAAAAAAAATTTTATTTAAAAATTAAACTCAAAGCATATTCGAACTTACTCTTAAACGAAAAATATTAAGAGGAAAAGTAAAAATTCATTCCCTTCATTTAAAAAGAAACTAAATGAATTATTATTAATATATGCAAAATTGCAACTCCACCAACTATTGAGTTTTACTAATAGAAATAATAATCGATAGAAGTTATTTGAGAGATTTTAATATTTTCCTTTTTTCTTTTTCTTTATTTTGTTTCATTATTTTGCCTTTTTTATTATTTATCTTTATTATTATTAGTATCTTTAGTATTTATTATTATTATTGATGTATTAGAATTATTATCAATAAACTGAATTTTTAAGAATCGTATAAATAAATAATATTCAATCTTAAGTAATCAACTTTGGAAACTATAAAAATTGTTGAAATTTCAGAAGAAATGCAATCTTAAAGGCGAAGAAGTCACTTTGGACAATATGAGATATGCTTTTACACGTTCATTAATTTTTGACGTGGTACTAAAGGTATTAAATTCTCTTGCTTTTTTGACGTTTTAATTCTTAAATTTTTACCTTGATAAATTTTTTTTAACTATTTAAGTTTCAGTTTCAACTTAAAAACTTTTTGGGATTTAAAATCGCGAGTTTCTGTCTTTAAATGTTAATAACTTTTATTTTAAGATCTCGGCTTGGACTTTGACAGGACTTTTTTATTTTGTAATTAAAGGATTTTTGAAATGAAAAAAAAAAATGTAAATAATTTAATTTGCTTTAAAAATTTAATCTTATATTTTGAGCATTTTAACGGAGTGGATGATCGGGGGACGAAGTTACCCGGCTATTCGCATCTCTATATAGCTTATCGTTTAAATCTCAAATCCAGGAAAGCTATACAATTAAATAATATTTCTTCACCCCGATGAAGAAAAAATTAATATCTAGGTAAAACAAAATACTGAAAATTTTTTTTCAATGTACACCGATAATCGGTGGCTTAGAAATTCAACGTTACAGTTTTTTACTACCATTCCATTTTAAAAAAAAATACCACAACTTCTCGCGTTAAAGTCCTTTCATAACCTTAACAACGCCACTGTTAAAGGAATAATTCGTGAGATAATTACAAATTATGTATTTAGCTCTATTTCAGTATATATAAAACTAAAATTATTTAGCTCGAACTTCAAAGCGAAGTCGATTTTCATGATAATATTAATCGCTTTTGTGGAATAACTTCAAAACAAAATATGTAATGTTCAAAATAAAGTTTAATAAAGATATTTATCGGTCATTTACTATTTTGATGATTTTGCTAGTACAATTAGTTACTAATCATTTATTTTATTTATGTTGTTATTATGTCAAATTGTAAATTACTATTAGATAACATTATTTAATATAGTTTAATAACTAATTATTAATTTATTTATTGAAAGTGCAATTTTTATAATATTTCTTAAACTATCGTCACTTTCTTGTATTTGTGATCTTTTTTTTTTTTATGATAGTATGGTATGATCTTCATCAGGTACATGTGACGCAAATAATTATGTTTTGAAGAATTCTACCTTTCGCAAGTGCTGATAGAGGGTAATTGATTACCTCAGGATGAATATTTTGTGTCATTTATATTATCAAAAGAAAAAAAACTTTATTGGGAAAACAAGGCGCGTAAAAAAAAAAAGAAATATCATTTGTTCTTATGAAAAAATAGTTTAATAAAGCTAAAAAAAAAAAAGTCTAATAAAGTTTTTAAATTAAACTACTTTGTGTAAATCGATAAAACAGTCACTCGGCACTGCGTGACCTCGTAACTGCGGCACTGCCGTGCCTTACATGTATTTGCAATAAGAATATGATCAAGTGGAATTTGCTGAGCGGAGCTCAGCAAAATCCAACCAATCATATTGCTTATTGCAAATACAACAGTTACTCGGCACTACGTGCCGAGTAACTATTACATATTGACATTTTTATTTTATTTATTTTATTTACTTGCCGATTTTTGGATTATCGAAAAGAATTGATGCAGCATCTAAACAACAGTCAAAAGTTTTTGGATAAGATTTGGTAGTCGAAAAGGAAGTGGGTGTCATTATTAGAAAGGGCAAAGCGATCGACAAGCTTGCATATTTAATTAGTAAATTCAGTAAATCCGTATGACCCCTGATTTCCGGAATTGGAAATGTCCAGTGACTATTAAATGAAACGCGTAAATGAGCGTTTCACAATTTCTCCCAAAAAATTTTCGTTTTTTCTGAAGTGAATCTTGTATTTTGTATTATTCGTATTGTTCGTACCATGGAGCTTCCATCACTCTCATCCTTGAACAAAGAAAAGTTCCTTGGTCATTCCGGTAATCAATCTATTCTTATTTTAAGGATTGTCAGTTTTATATTAATCAATTTTTACTTGACAGCTCTTCAGAGTTATGTGGCTGATGTCCCTCCAGAAGAATTATCATATATACAGTTTTTAAACTTCAGCCGGCCCCTTATTGTCATCTCCCCACCCTTTTCAAAAACTTGGGATAATTTGCAAAGCGTATGGTGCAAACGCTTCCTAGAAGAGATTGCACATTTGGGAACTAACGTGAACGAGAAGGTATAAATAACTCAGTTTAAGTAGTATTAGATATTTGTATGTGGACAGCTCTCGACGGGTAAATCCTGAACAGAGTACGGGTAATAACAACCACAGTCCAAGTTGCGGTATATGTGTGGACAGCTCTCGACGGGTAAATCCTGAACAGAGTACGGGTAAAAACAACCTTAGTCCAAGTTGCGGTATATTGTATATATGTGTGGACAGCTCTCGACGGGTAAATCCTGAACAGAGTACGGGTAATAACAACCTCAGTCCAAGTTGCGGTATACTGTATATATATGTGTGGACAGCTCTCGACGGGTAAATCCTGAACAGAGTACGGGTAAAAACAACCACAGTCCAAGTTGCGGTATATTGTATAAATGTGTGGACAGCTCTCGACGGGTAAAGCCTGAACAGAGTACGGGTAAAAACAAGTTGTGGTATACCGTATATAAGTGTGGACAGCTCTCGACGGGTAAATCCTGAAAAGAGTATGGGTAATCAACCTCAGTCCCACACTTTCCTTAGCCTAAAAATTATTGCCTAGAAATTATCACTAACAGTATTTTTCTTGACAGATTAAACGTGAATTTAGAGATATAGAGTACTTTCGGATGTTTTGGTCATCAATAATCCTTCATCGGAAGAATAAAATAAGAGAAATGGAAAGTGAAATAACTAAGGAAGAGAGGTTGCTATTTTGCTATCCAACTATTTGTATTTCCTTTATAATAAACATCGCGTTACTTATTACAGTCCTCTATCTTACTAGCAATGAGAACATTAGAAATTTTATTGAGCATTTTGAATCTTCATACAAAGGACTTGATGACGAAAAAAAGTGGATACTGGGATCCGGAAACAAGGTTGAAGACATCATCTACAAATTCACACTTCATCATATGCAATTACTAATTGATTTTATGCATGTGCTTCAGTTTGGTACATTCATTTGTTTTAGACACTGATGATAAAAATATTCGTGACCTCTTCTCTGCAAATGAATGGAACGAGATTCTCGAGAAAAATTCTAAAAAATCGCCAAAAATCGAGTCGGATCTTCTATGTTACATAACGCGGTACAGAAAGGCACGTATTTCGAAAAAAAGTTACTGGCTTGCTCAATGCTAATATTTTTCTATTTTATAGACGAATGTAAAAGATCTTCGAGAAGCCGTCAGCAAACTGTGTAAGAAAACTGATAATGATGTGGAAGAGCAGTTCGACTATATATGGATCAGGAACTGCATAAGTAATTTGTAAGTTTAATTTCATCAAAATATCACATTAATGCTTTTATGGAGTTTTTTACTAGAACTTGTTCGATAGGTTGACTCTATATGAAATAAAACCGCGTGTTTTTGAGAAATCGCATCTTGAGCGGTGGTATGACACAAACATCTGGTCATCAATTATCGATCAATGTATGTGGAACTTGAAGGACGTGGAACTCATCAGGTAATCTGAAGAATAACTTAATAATTATTATAATTATTCCTGTTTTAATTTATAAAGTTTGAACATTTAGGGGAGAGTCTTGTTCTATCGCTAGTAGTGAGCGCAAAGCAAAAAATAGAATTTTACAAGTACGTAAACCACTCGGTCGCCGTGGTGATGGAGTGTTCCGCATGGAAAAAGGTCTTTGTGAATACGGTGCTGCGGAACATGGTCGTCTTTTTCAGGGTGAAAAGGATAAGAAATTTATGTCAGATGGTTTCAAGTTGACTAGAATGCTACGAGACATGTTGGGAAGATTTTCAGCAGAGTTAAGTACAGAAGTATTGAAGCAGATCGAGATGGTTGGATATTTGCATTCAGGTAGGTTTAACTGTCTACAAGCATGACTTCCATTGTTATATCTATGACACAAACGACTCTTATTATCAGAGAGAATGTTGCAAATATTCGTCCTTGACTATGCAAAAGGGTATATGATACGTCTTCGAAAAGGAGCCCTATTAGAAGTTCCCAAGGAACCGGTGAATATTGACAATCTGTTGAAGCTGATAACGGCTGTGTTATCAAGCAAGGTATAATTTTGGTCTGCTTATTTATAATCATTACGAACATTTACTGATCTAGTGTTTTTATTCCAAATAAAGCTACGAATTTCTCGCACAATTTCCCTGTTGCAAACTCCTGAACAATCAAATGATCTCGAATTTACTAAAAAGTTGTCAACTGCTGACCAAATTGAACGCGTTTGCTCCAATAATCAAATCTTAGATTTACCAGATCCGCCTTCATCTCCACCCTCGTCCCCACCTTCAAAGAAACTAAGAATCGCAAAATTAAGTAAAATAGAAATAGAATAGACAAAAATTAAAATCAGGCTAAACAATTCTTTATTATATTTAATGGGTGCTTAGCCATGGCGAAAAGAAAAGTGGCTATCATGTGATGCCGATCTAAATCTTTTTTTTTTGTTCAAGCTTTTTAGTTTTTTACGATTCTATTTTAATGCAGAACTTATATAAATTTTTCAGTGCTTTATATATTATTTTATTAATATTTTATATTGTGAAAAAAATATAATAAATGAATCTTTTATAATAACCTTTTAACGCAACCAGAAAGCAAGTTTTCCATTTTTGATCCCATGTACTTTTGTGTATGAGCATTTAGCTTTTTTTCACATTCTTCTACAGCTTTAACAACTGGTTTTACAAGAGTATCAAAGCTTTTTACAAGGCAGAATCAAAGATTTTTTATAGTGAGCCAACTTATCTCTATTTCATCTTTTGTATTATTCCTTTTTGCTAATTCTATATTTTTGCAAATTACTAGAATTTGAACAGGATTTTTTGGTAGAATCATTTTCAATAATATTTGACCTGTATCTTTTCTAAAGATCATTTTCTTGGCAAATTGATGATACTTTATCTACATCAAAAAAAAAAGCAGATAATCATGGTGATGTACTCTTTCTATAAAGGTAGGCAAAATATTTTTTTTTGCAATTAAATGCTTGCAAAGAAGGTAGAGACTATAGGAGTATGCTGGACAATAACATATCTAATTAATTATATTGAAATAATATTTTTCATTCATGTCAGATTCATATATGTATTTGCAGCTTTATTCTAATCCTTCTTAAAGGTTTGTCACCATAATGAAAAATTGTTATTTGTATGGTATTGAGTTAATTTGAGATCAAAATCTAATATTAACTATTCAATAAGAATCTGTATTAAATGATAAAATGCAGATGATTATAATTATACCTATAATCATATTTAAGCATTTTTTAATAGCTTTAATAAGAAAAGTATCAGAAATTATGTCATTTTGATTTTAAGAATTTTGACCCTCCTTCTTTCTCAGTTATTATTTTTATTACTTTTAAATAAGAAAATTATATAGTAATGTTATTCTAGGTAAATCATCTCTCTTCTTTAGAAAATTATGTCATTTCTGATCTTTTTCTAATCATAATTATTTGAGTTAAAAGTATTACTAGTGAATAAGCTAAATAAATAAATAACTTTTAATACTTTTTATTATATCAGAATTTGTTCACAAATAACCTCATAACTTGCAAAATTATTATCACAATAAAACTAATATACTTCTTATATACAATATTGATAGATTTAAGTAAAGTTCAAAAGGTATTTTTGCTACTAAAATTAATAGATATATAATTTAATTATATTTATAATTTTATTAATTTTATTATCTAAACTAAAACTTTCAGTATAATTATTTAGAATTTATAATAATTCAATAAAATCAAATTATTAGTAAGCTTTTATTACTTTATTCTTTAAGTAATTAGATTTTTAATCTTTTAAATACTTATTAATAGTATGATTTAAATTTTAATAATAAAATTGTAAGTTAGTTATCTATAATTATACTTCTTTTATAGCTAATATTTCTTTTGTATTTTTATCTATTAATTAAATGATAGTAATTATTCTTATTTTCAAAAATTAATAAAAAATTACGTAAAGCTTTTATTCTAATTAAAATTTACAATAAATTTCTTTAAGTCTGTAATATTAATACGATTAAGCAAAGATATTGTAAATCTAAGAGCTTTTATAAAATTATTTATCAAATAAAAGATAGTTTTCAAATATAGTTATTCTTTAAGATATTCTTTTGCTAATAAGAACTGATTTTTAGAATTTTTTTTAAAGTTACAGTATTCAAATACTAGAAGACCATATGGGTTCTTTGCAATAGAAAAGGAGGAAACTACCAAAAAAATTTTTTTTGAATTAATGTTAAATTTGAACTTATTTTATTAAAAAAATAATATTTAGCTTATAAAGCAAAAAAAAATTTTTTTAGTAGT